ATATACAAAAGTTTACTCAATGTGGATTAAAGACCTAAATTTAAAAGCTAAAACTATAAAACTCTTAGAAGAAAACATACATGCAAATCTTCATGACCTTGGATTAAGCAATGGTTTCTTGGACATGACACTAAAATCACACACATCCAAAGAAAAAGTCAATAAAATCAACTTCATCAAAGTTAAAAAACATTTGTGCTTCAAAGAATACTATCAAGAAAGTGAAAAATTAGCCAGATCTAGTAGCATTTGCCTGCAGTCCTAGCTACTTGGAAGCCTGAGGCAGGAGGATCACTTGAGCCCAGGAGTTTGAGGTTACAGTTACAGGGAGCTATGATCTGACCACTGCAATCCAGCGTGGGCGACAGAGCAAACAAGACTGTCTCTTTCAAAAAAGACAAGTGAAAAGATAACTCACAGAATAGGAGAAAATATTTGCAAATCATTTCTCTGATAAGGTTATAATAGCTAGAATATAAATAGAACTCTTGCAACTCAACAACAAAAAACAAATTTTAAAATGGGTAAAGTATCTAAATAGACCGTTTCTCTAAAGACGACATACAAATATCCAATAAGCATATGAAAAGATGTTCCACATCATTAGGGAAATGCAAATCAAAACCACAATGAGATACTACTTCACACCAAATAGGATGGCTAGAATAAAAAAGACAAGTATTGGTGAGGAAGTACAGAAAAACTGGAACCCTCACACATTGCTTGTAGGAACTGAAACAGTGCAGCATTGTGGAAAACAGTTTGGAAGTTCCTTAAGAGGTTAAACATAGAGTTACCACATGACCCAGCAATTCCACTATTACATGCATACCTAAGAAGGTGAAAACATACACATATACATAAACTTGTACCTAAATGTTCACAGCAACATTATTCCTAATAGGCAAGAAGTGGATACAACCCAAATGTCCATCAACTGATGAATACAAAAACAAAATGTGGTATATCCATACAATGGAATACTATTTGGCAATAAAAAAGAATGAAGTACTGGTGTGTGCTACAACACGGATGAACCTTAAAAACATTATGTGAAGTGAAAGAAGCCAGACGCAAAAGGTAGCACATTATATATGACTGCATTTGTATGAAATTTCCAGAGTAAACTAATCAGTACAGACAGAAAGTACATTAGTAGTTGCCAAGGGCTAGGATAAGAGGAGAATGAGGAGTGACTGCTAACGGGTGCAGGGTTTCTTTTTGGGGTGATGAAAATATTCTGGAATTACATAGTGGTGATGGTTGTATAACTTCATAGATATACTAAAACCACTTAATTGTATACTTCAAAAAGTAAATTTTATGGTATATAAAGTATATCAATTTAAGTTTTTCTTCCAAAAACAAGAGAAACTGGCAGGGCATGCATTGTGGCTCACTCCTGTAGTCCTAGCACTTTGGGAGGCCAAGGCCAGAGGATTGCTTGAGGCCAGGAGTTCGAGGCCAGCCTGAACAAGATTGATCTCCTCCACAAAAGATAGAAAAATTAGCTGGGCATGGTGGTGTATGCCTGTACTCCCAGCTACTTGGGAGGCTGAGATAGGAGGATCATCTGAGCCCAGGAGTTTGTGGCTGCAGTGAGGTATAATAACGACATTGCATTCTAGCCTGGGCAACAGAACAAGACCCTGTCTCAAAAACAAATGAACAACAACAACAAAAAACAGAGAAACCCATGGAATAGGAAAAATATTTGCAAGGGATTAATATCTGAAACATACTTTAAAACCCCTAGAACTCAACAACAAAAAAACTCAAACTACCGCTTTTTATAACAAAATGGGCAAAGGACTTACATAGATACTTCTCCAAAGAAGATATACAAATTGGCTAATAAGCACATGAAAAGATACTTAAGGGAATTTAAAGTGGTACAGCCACTGTAGAAAACAGTTATGACAGTTCCTCAAAATATTAAAAATGGAATAACCACATGATCTAGCAATTACATTTCTGGGCACATACCCAAAAGAACTGAAAACAGGGACTTGAAAAGATACTTGTATACCCATATTCGGGAGCATTATCCAGAATAGCCCAAACGTGGAAGCAACCCCAATGTCCATCCATGATGAGTGGATAAACAAAATGTGCTTTATCCATACAATGGAATATTACTCAGCCTTCAAAAGGAAGGAAATTCTGACACATGCTACAACATGGATGACCCTTGAGGACATTGTGCTGAGTGAAATAAGCCAGTTACAAAAGGACAAATACTGTATGATTCCACTTGCATGAGGTTCCTATGGGTAATCAACGCCACAGAAACAGGAAGTTGAATGATGATTGTCAGGGCTGGGAGAAGGGGGGATGGGGAGTGAATGTTTAACGGACAGAGTTTCAGCTGGGGAAGATGAAAGAGTTCTGGAGATGGACGGTGCTGACGATTCGCAGCGAAGTGAATGTTCTTAATGCCACACAACTGTACACTTGAAAATGGTGAAAATGGTAATTTTACGTTATGCATATTTTATCCCCCCCCACACACACACACAAAACAAGAAAACAGGGAGACTAAAGAAACATGACAACAAATGATCTTGGGTTGGATCCTAGACCACAAAAAATTTCTACAAAGGACATTATTGGGGTAATGGGCACAACCTGAATATGGATTGCAAATTAGATAATTAAATCAATGCTAGAATTTTTCTGGTTTTGATAATTGTACTATGAAAAAAGAATCTCCTTTTTAGGAAATAATCACTGAAATGTTTAGGGATAAAAGAGCATGCTGTATGTAAATTACTCTCAAATGGTTGGGGGGAAGAAATATACGTATGTATATGGAGAGAGAGAATAGAACATAATAAAGCCAAATGTTAACAACTAGAGAATCTTGATGAAGGTATACAATGTGCAATTCTTACAACTTTATTGTAAGTTTGGAAATATTTCAAAATAAAAAGTTTTTAAAAATTAATTTGTCCAAAATAGAACTTCTAATCTCTCTCAAAACCTGCTCCACCCACAGCTGCCCCCATCTTAGAAAATGACAGCTCTACCTTTCTGGTTGCTCAGACCAAATTCACCAGAGCAGCCATCCTCGACTCCTCTTTCACACCCACTCCGATCTACCCCCAAGTCCTATTGGCTGCCCCTTCGAAACACTTCCAGAACCCCGGCCCTTCTCATCGCCTCCATGCCTACCTAGCCTGGGTCAGCAGCACCTCTTGCTTTATAGCTCCTCTCCCAGCTTCCCTCCCCTGGCCCCTCCAGGCTATTTTCAACACAGCCCCCAGGAGCTTTCTGTCAAACCCTAAGCTAGATCCCACCACCCTTCTACTCACAACTCTCAGGCGGCCGACATGGAGCCAAAAGATCGGTCCCTACTGCTTCTGAGGCCTCTTCTCTCACCCCTGCCCACGTCCCACAGCCTTCCTGCAGCTCCCTGCCTTCCCAGCGTCCCTTCCTGAGAGGTGGGCTCCAGCCACTCCAGCACACACTTCCTCCAGCATCCCTCTCCCAGCTTGGTCCTTCGAGGCACTGAGTAGTGTCCCCACGCCGGGGAACTACTTTCCTTCCACAAAACACACGCTTCCTGAGCGGAGTCCTATAGCAGGTGTCTGTTAACAAACATTTACAGAATAAGTAAGCAACTGGGTGTTGCAAAGTTTCCTTGGGAACTTCAGCCGACCCTTCGTGCGATAGCTGACTCTCCCTGACCCGCCTCTTCCCTCTAAAGAAGCCTTACTTGGCCCGGTGCAAGCCGCTCCCACTGCGTGGGCCTGGGCGAGGAGGCCTGGGGGAAGGGGGGTGGGCTCTAGGCCTAGGCCCCTGGACATCAGCATGCCTCGCTGGAAATGAGGGGGCGGCCCAGAGCAATCCCCACCACCTGTCAGGACTCCCTCAAGCCTCCCCGTTACCCCCGGCATCCTCCCCTCCTCACAGAACCCCAGCACAGCCCAGGGGGCGGGGACAGCAGCGAAGGGGGCTCACCAGGAGCCCCCCTCTCCCCGCCGTGGGTAGCAGCCAAATAAGGACCGGCCGCCCACCCCGCGGCCCCGCCCCGCCGGCCGCGCACATTCTTCTGCCTTGTAAGGCCCCGGCCGCCGCGCCCCGCCCCGCCCCGCCCGGAGAGCCCAGACCCGACGGCCGCCGGCTCCACGCACCCAGAGAGCGAGCGCCTTCTCCGCACCAGGTGGGAGCACGCCCGGCAGGGCCTGGGTGTCTAGAGCAGGGGGTCTGAGAACCCGGGGCTGGGCTGGAGACGGGGCCGGGCTGGAGACGGAGGTGGCCCGCCCGGATCCGGCTGTCACGGGGCGGGGGCAGGCCCCAGGACCAGGATGTCCGAGGGTCTGCTGGGCACGGACCGGGGTTGGGCTGGGGCTGCGAGTCTGCTCGGGAGGGTCAGGGATTCCGGCCTGGGGCTGGGCAGCAGGGAGACTCTTCTGTACTCTGGGAAGCAGTGGTCCTTCAGCGAGGGGAGACTGTCCAGGCTCTGCCCCTCTGCTGAAGAGCTAGAGGCGCCACACCCAGAGGTCCTGGGTGACAGGGTGAAAGGGTGCCAGGGAGAGCACTGCGATCAACAATGCTCCCCCGACCCAAAAGTACCATCCATGTGTGTCACAGATTAGGAGACAGCCCTGTCAGGGATCCGGGGATCCGTGCCCGGCAGAACATCCACGTCCTTCCCCCATTTCGCATCCCCACAGCCTGGGGCAGGAGAGAGGAATGGAGATCAAGGCAGCCTCCCCCCACACCGCATGGGCCTGGGCTTCCTCTGTGGCCGCCTACCCCTGTGTGCCTGTGGGTGGGGAAGGTCTGGACTCCCTGCTGGACTCACTTCCAGGGGACTGGACAAGGACTCAGGGCTGGGAAAACCTGGGCCCTGCTCCTTTCCAGCCCAGGAAGAGCTGGGTAACAGATCAGGTGAGTTTACAGGGAGGTGCTGGCATCGCCAACAGTAGAGACTGTGAGGTAACAGGGGGCACAGACCTGGTCTGGCTTTAGCCCAGGTCTTTGCAGTCATGGTGGGATTTTGGACACTAGTACCGGGGAGGTGGCATCTAGTCCCAGCCAGGCCAAGTGTCAGCAATGTTTGATCCCTGGTGTCCAGGGCCCCTACAGGGGGAAGTGGTGGCTCCAGGGCTAAAGGCCCAGCCTGCCCCTGACTCCAGTCCCTCAACCAAGCCTAGAAACCACCTCTGGTCACATAGAGCCCTTAGCCACTCAGCTGCCACAGGCCCACGGTGAGCCACTTAGGATGGATGTTTTCTGTTCACGCCTCAAAGACACACACTGATCTAAACCTAGTCCAGGAGTCCTGCCTTCTAGTTGACCTCCACCCTTTCGTGGGCACGTCACTTTCCTTCCTGGGCCTGTTTTTCTAACCGCACAGTGCTGGGGACCCCAAATCACACCCTGCTTTCCCCAATTGCTGGAATGGACGTGGTGGCCTTGTGCAAACCCTTAGTACAGTGCGCCCAGCCACATCATGGCTCCACCAGGGATGAGGGTGGGGCTGGGGTGGCCATGAAGGCAGAGGAGCCCAGCCAGGCTCAGACAGAGAAGTGGGTGGGCCTGGCCATGCATGCCCTAGAGCTTTGGGGACAGGAGAGAGGTGGGGACAATGATGGCCATCATAGCATTTGCCAGGCACAGTGGCCTTCTCCTACATGAGTGGCCTTCTATGAGGGCCATGAGTCAAAGTTCCCAGAGAATATGGGCTCAGTGAAGGATCAGGCCCCTCCAAACCACAGCAGAGGAGGGGGCCAGCTTCTGGGGACAATGGCATTCCCTGCCCTCAGCACCTTCTCTCTCCCACCCAGGTCACAGGTGAGAAGGGCTTCTAATACCGCCTTCCCCCCTCCCCGCCAACCATGCAAGAAACACTGAGGGCCAGGTGTGTAGGTCCATGGGACACAGGCAGCCACTGTCTTGTGACTATAGGCAGCTGTGACCCTGAGGACACACTGGGGCTGGCCCACCCAGCTCAGGGTTTAAGATCTGAAAGGCCAAGGATCAATAATGACTTGAACAGGGTCATGGGTTGAAGGCCTGGAAACAGCTTGATGAGCACTCACAACCACACAACTTGGCGTGAGAACAGGCAGCACAGGCAGAGGTGGTGTCCTAGAGGCCCTGGACCAAGGGGTCCAGGACAGAGGAAAGGGGGGGTCAGCAGTCCTGGAGCCTCGGCCAGGCCCATCACTGCCCAGCTGAGGGGAAGAAGGCACTAGGTCTTTGGGGACATAGTCCCCACAAACTGTGAGAAGGGTTCATGGAAAGAGTCCCTTGCCTGGCCTCAGTTTCCCCACCTGTACAGTGGAGGCAGCAGACTGGCCACAGCTGCCCTCATACAGTCATTAATTAAACAAGCATTAGCCCCACTGTGGCCAGCGATTGGGGTAAATTGGGGGATTCATGTTGGCTCTGATTATGAAGGAGAGAGATCTTTAAATGCTGCAGTCAAAGGAAGGGTGAGCAGAACAGCTGTCGAGGGGGTGTCTCAAGAACTGGGCTGGAGGAGGAAAAGCACTGCAGGAGGAGGGACCAAGGAGGAAAGTCTGGGGGTGGCTGGGGAACAGCAGAGGTCAGCTTGGCAGGATTACAGATCACAGAGGGACACAGTGAGGGTACCTGGCCAGTCACAAAGAGGCCAGGAGGGGTTCACACAGGGCCTTGAATGCCAGGCTGAGGGGCCCACACTTGTTCTGGGGGGAGCCAGGAACCTTCAAGGGCTGCAAAGTCACAGGTGCAGATGTGGGTCTGGGGGTGAGAAAGATGGGCTGGCGGCTAAGAAGCCAGGTCCAAACAAGGGTGACCAGGAGCTGGGGTTCTCAGCTGGAGGGAGCCTCATGCCCGATAAGCACTGAGGAGTGTGAAGGAGGAGTAGGGCCCAGGATCAGCCTATCACCCGTCCAGGGGCTGGTCAAGCTCCCTGAGGTGGGTGGGTGGGGGGCAGATGGTCCACAGCCTACTGGAACCTGCAACGGGTAGCACAGAAGGATGGAGAGGACATAGGAGGAGGACGAGGAGGAATGTCAGGAATGCAGGGCTGTTGAGCCAGTGCCTTGGGTGGAGGGAGAGGGGAGCCTGCAGGGTAGCTGGGGAGGGGGGTGCTCACTGCCTCTCGCATGTTGACCCACCTCTGGCACTTGGAGAGAGAGATGGACAGTGTAAATGTTATTAAGGATTAAAGAAGATAAAATAAACCATGTTAACAGTTGGCACCAAGCCCAATCCTAAGTGTTTTCCACAAACAGTCACAGCAAAAATAGCATACTCCATGGCTGGCGCTGTTCCAGAGGCTTTCAGGCACTAAGTCAGTAAATCCTCACTGCTGGGCACTCCTCATGTCCCATTCCCAGGACACTCAGGCTCGGGAGAGGTAGAGGAAGTTGTTCAAAATCACACATGCTCGTCTGCTTTTGTGAAGAACTGGATGGCAAGAGCCCCAAGCCTGTGGAGGCCTTTGAATGCCAAAAGCCCATCTGAAGGAGGCTGGAAGATTCTCCTGGCCCAGACTCATATGCACTCCACCCTCTTCCTGCAGGGAAGCCCCACCACCAACTGAAGCCAAGATGTCCAGCAAACGGGCCAAGGCCAAGACCACCAAAAAGAGGCCACAGCGGGCCACATCCAACGTCTTCGCGATGTTTGACCAGTCCCAGATCCAGGAGTTTAAGGAGGCCTTCAACATGATTGACCAGAACCGTGACGGCTTCATTGACAAGGAGGACCTGCATGACATGCTGGCCTCGATGGGTGAGCAGGGATGGGGATGGGGTGGGGTCTCAGGGGGGCCCGGGCAGGGCTGCTCCTCATTTATAGAGCACCTCCTGTGTAGTGAGACACGTGGTATCCACCCTAGAGAACAGCTGCCATGACTTCATCTAATAGTCAAACTGAGGCACAGTGCAGTTTGGGGATTTGCCAGAAGTCCAGCTCAGCATCTGAACCTAGACAGGCTGCCTCCAGAGCAGGACTGTCCAGAGCAGATTTGTGTTGGGCTGCCCTGTAACATTTCATTTAAAGAGACGGATTAGGGCTGGAACGATGGTACACACCTTAGTCCCAGCCACTCGGGAAGCTGAGGCAGGGGGATCGCTTGAGCCCAGGAGTTCAAGGTTACAGTGAGCTATGATGATGCCACTGTACTCCAGCCTGGGCAACATAGCGAGACCCTGTCTCAAATAAATAAGTAAATAAAGAGAGGGATCAGTATCTAAATGAAAGTTTGAACTGTACAGACTTTCCACTGTACAGATGGGAAAACTGAGGCCTAGAGGGGAGGCCAGAGCACCTGCCCTCCTTCAGAGGTCACCCTTCCCAGGTGCTCGGAGTCTCTCTCACTCCAGTGACTTCCTCAGAATCGGGATCTTAGAGCTGAAAGGGCTCAGGAACCAAGTCCAATTTGCCAGAGACCATACCCTGCCTGTGGGCCCACCCACCTCCCTGCCCACGTGCTGGCCACACAGCCACTCTCAGCCCATTCCTGGCACACCCTCCATCGGGTCAAAGCGTCTGGCCCAGACACTGGCAGGGGTGAGGGAGGACAAGTCTGGGGTTGGCGGAGGCACCACGTGATGGTCAAGCCACAAGCTTTGGTGCCAGACAGCCCTGAGTCAGTCCCCAGCCTGCACCCATTCCCTTCCCTGTGTAATGGTGACCATAGCCCTCGTGTACCCACCAGGCATCTGGTGGGAGGACCACCCAACCCTGAGTGGGAGGGCTAACGGGACACTGGCCCCCTTTCCCAGCTTCAGGCCAGGATCACTTGCAAGTTCCTTCCCCCAAGGTTGCTAGCAGGGACTGAACTCCAGCGCTCTCATCTGGGACCCTCCCAGCCTTGGCCTGGTGAGAGGAGGGGCTGGCCCTGAGTGCCCCACTAGGGTCCTGATGTCATAGCTCCGCTCGGGCCTCAGCTTCCCTGGCCGTCCCATGGGACACAGCGGGATGTGTGAGGCTCAGAGGAGACAGGGACATAAAGACTCCTTAGCACCCCACATCCAGGCACCTGAACCCTGAGGCTTGATGACAGCTTTAGATGTCAACCCAGAAAAATAGGCATTCAAGTCTGTAGCTCACGCCAGCAGGTCTGCAGATCAGTCATGGCCTTATGGTTAAGAACATCATCTTTAGGTTAAAAAAAAACCAAAAAACAGGAGCAGCAAATAAAATAATCAGCAGCACTGGCCCTGTAGGTATTATCTTAAATCTCAAAGCAATCCTACTGGATAGCTGTGATTATCATTCCCACTTTACAAATGAGGAAACTGAGGCTCACAGAGGTTAAGTAATTTGGCCAAGGTCACACAGCTACTAAGTGGTAGGGCTGTTCCAAGCACTGTTATGAGAGTCCTACAGCCATTGTTTTTTCATCTTCACAATTCTAAGAGATGGGGGAAACCCAGGCACCTGTGTGACAGCAAAGCACTGTGCCTGGACTTTGGGGTTAGGCTGCCTGAGTTCAAATGCTGGGTCCACTCCTTACTTGCTATGTGACCTTGAAAGGTCACCTCACCTCTCTTTGCCTTGGGTCCACACCTGTGAAGGGGGTAAGAATGCTGACCTCAGGGACGGTGGAAGGTAAATGCAATAAGGCACACGGTGCTCCAGACACAGAGAGCAGTCAGCAGACGGCCACGCCGACTGCATGTTAGAAAGCATTCCCGCCCACCGACACGCGGCCCAGAGGACAAAACTGACTGAGGCAGCTGGGAGCTCCTGGCACCCACTGCTGTGGCTGCCCGGGCACTGTGCTTCACAGTCCACCCAACTTACTCTCTCCCCTCTCTCACAGGGGACTGTGAAGGGAGGGGAAGGGGAGGCAGGAGTTGCCCAGGCTGGGGACAGAGGGCCTGGGGATGGTAGGCATGAACGGTCCTACCTGCCACAGGGAAGAACCCCACGGACGAATACCTGGAGGGCATGATGAGCGAGGCCCCGGGGCCCATCAACTTCACCATGTTCCTAACCATGTTCGGGGAGAAGCTGAACGGCACAGACCCAGAGGACGTGATCCGCAACGCCTTTGCCTGCTTCGACGAGGAGGCCTCAGGTCAGTGGCACCCCTGTGCACATGAGTGGGGCCAGGCCAGGGGCTGGTAGTGGTGGGGCCCGGCCTGCCCCGGGTCTTCGGTGCCCCTGTCCCAAAGGCCAGAATAGACATCACCATCTCCTGGTTTCTGTTGCCAGAAACTTCCTTGTTCTCTCCCCAAAGTGCTAGGCCAGAACAGCCCACATCCACCAAGGTGTCTGACTTCTTGATCTCACCTGTTGGTCTAACACATACTCTCCCTCTGCTTTCTACCTTTCCAGAAATCACACCATTCCGTGCCTTTCTTGCCCACAAGGCAGAGAAACCAGCCCCCATCCTCGGATCTTCCCAAGGACTTTATGTCCCACAGCTGATTTTTCCCCAGCACATGCCACGCCAGAGTGATGGTGGGAGCAGTAACACTGCTGGAGCCCCCCACAGGCCTGAGCATGTTCACGGCATTTTCCTGACTACCTTCACAGGCCCCCACCAGGCTGGCATATTATATCCCCATTTTCCAGATCAAACGGACAGAGAGAGGTTCAGAACCTTGCCCAAGGTCACACGATAGGGAGGATGGGAAGCAGCATTCCAGCCCAGGCGGTGGAACTGCAGAGCTCCTGCTCTTCTGGCAGGACGTACCCAGCACCCTCCGCACTCACAGCTCCACGTTCCCCACAGAAACACCTCTCAGACAGTCCCACTGCAGAACTCTCCCCTCTGGGACCCTGGCGAGCCCGCCTGCCATGTCCTCATTCCTTCAAACTGACCACAGACTAGGGCTGTGTCTCCCTGGCCCTTCCAGGTGTGCGAAAGCTGGTGGGGGGCTGAGGGGAAGGGGCCGCTGTATGCGTCCAGCCCGAGTTCCTGCTCTCATGGGCCTCGCCCCGCCCCCAGGTTTTATCCATGAGGACCACCTACGGGAGCTGCTCACCACCATGGGTGACCGCTTCACAGACGAGGAGGTGGACGAGATGTACCGCGAGGCACCCATTGATAAGAAAGGCAACTTCAACTACGTGGAGTTTACCCGCATCCTCAAACATGGTGCCAAGGACAAAGATGACTAGGCCACCCCAGCCCTCCCAATGCCCAGGCCACCGTCCCAGTCACCCCCTCCCCCCACACACTTGTCTGTAGCAGCTCCATGCCCACGACCCTACAAGACCCTCGCAGGGGCGGATCCCAGTGGAGGCAACAGGCCAAGAGAAGCGCAGTGCCAGGGAAGAGGCACATGGCCAACTTGAGGCAAATGTTCCCACCGTGACCCCGGAGACCTGAGAGGGAGTCTCTGACCCCTCCAAGGAAAGACCATCTGGGGAGATGGGGCAGAGGGCAGGACCTGGAGGCACCAAGGGAAGGCTGCTCAACAGAGCCCAGGCCTCAAGCGGCAGCCTGCCCATTCCCACACTGCCCGCCAGCAGGAAGGGGCCCCATGTGGCCCCTAAGAGGAAGAGGCCCTGTGTCCTGGTATGTGTCGGACACCACTTCATGTGCACCCACACACAAACACAAGTTCACCAAAGTCCCCTCTCAGAGGACAGGACACCAGACCCCTCCCCTGTACCCTGTCCAGCCACCAGAGCACACCCACCCACCATGGGACTGTGCTCAAGACGACGCACACAGAGTGGATGATGTTTGTCCCAGGGGAGGCAGAATCTCCAATAGAAGGCTGAGCACTGCTGTGGCTGTGTATGTCTATGGTTGGGGTAAAATAAGAGGCCCCCTAAACCTCAAACACCTTCCCATCCCCTCCTCTCATCCCCAGTGGCTGCCCCGATCCCCCCTCCCTGGCCAGAAGAAGGGCTGGGGGCCTCCAGCCATAGGGACCCTGAAGCCTCGGGGGTCAGAGTCCCTCAGTGAGGGGGCTCCATGCCTAGCTGAGACCAAAGCAGTGGGGGAGGGGGACAGAGGGAGGCGAGCCTGCTGGCATCGGGGCTCATGGGAGGGAGAAGACAGAGTGGGAAGGACCTATGGCAATCAGCACCGCCACTCCCAGTGGAGGCTTCTGGATCTCTGGGTCCCCGCAATGCTCCAGGAAAGCCAGGTGGTCCTGGAACAATGGAGAGGCTTTGGGAACGGTGATGGGGGCATTCCAGTAGTCCAGGCACAGGGGTGGGAATGAGGGGGTTACCAACTCTGCAACTTGGCACCCTCTGCAGCTGGAGGGTCAGTTTAGCCACAGGACCAGCAGCACAGCAGGCCACAGCTTTTTATATCCCTCGTGTGTGCAGGACAGGCAGCGCCGGGACTACTGCTACATATTGAATGATGGGGACACTGACAACAGTGCCTGGGGCATAAAAAGGGCAGAAGTATTGGCTGAATGGTTGAACAGAGAGCCAAGAGGGGTAGGGACTGCCTTAGGTCGCCTGGTGGGTCTGGGCAGAGTGAGGGCTGGACTCCCCATGGGGCTCAGGCTGGGGCTGCACCCACCTCACGTGACCCCAGCAAAGGACAGTGACTGACTGCTGGACCCAGCTTGGTCCTGCTGCCTTCTCTAGAGGTCACCCAGAGCCAGGCCCCCAAAGCACTCGGCAGAGGTCTTAGATCAGAGCCAAGGGAGTGCTGAGCACCAAGAGGACCCTGCACCAGAGCAGGAGACCCCGACCTCCCAGAGGCCTCTGCCCCACCTCAGCAGCAGGCCCTGACAGAGCCCAGATGAAACTCCTCATCTTGGCTCCAAACTGAGCCCAACAAGTTCCAAATCAGGCCCAAATACATCCCAGATTCACTCTCTACCACACCCTGGCCCCTGGCCCCAAACTGTGGGCCCCCAGCTGCACATAGGCCCCTGAGCAACTCTTAGCCTGGCCACGCATTCACTGCTGCCAGTCCCAAAGCGGGATGGGAGGGCAGCTCTGGGTGTCCTTCCAGAGCTCTGGCCACACATGCCCACCACCAATGTCACAGGGTCCTCTCGGCAGAGCCACTGCAGCATCAACGGCCTTTCTGGAAGAAGGCAGGGACATGTCATCAGGATTGCAAGCTCAGTTTGCGATGCTATCACTAGCCTATCACTCTTCACTCAGAGAGATGGGAGAGCTCACATCTGGGTGGCGACAGGACAGAGTCAGTCCAGCCTCACCGGTTTCAGAAATGGCCTGGGGGCTCATGGAACCCCCAGAAATGGAAAAGGAAAGTGCTCTGGGTAGGGTAGGGCAGGACCAACAGGAATCTGCAGGGCAGAGGGAGGAGGGAAAGAAGGGTGCTTGGTGTATAGAAACAGCCTCAGCCATGGTCTGAGAGCAAGAATGCACCGGGAATGCACAGGGCGTGCTGGGAGCTGGGGAAGAAAGCAGTTTTTCATGTCAGGAACTGACCTATTAAGATCTTAGCAGCTTTTCAGAAAAAAAAGAAAAAGAAGACACTAATGTGTTTTATTTATCTCAGACAACATTTAGGCGTAACAGTGAAGTATTCAGAGTTTCAAAGTCTAGCACGAAACCCAGAAGCCACAAACAAAAAGAATGATGGATTTAAATGCATGAAGACTAAATTCTCTCTGTAGGACTAAAGAAATCATAAACGAAGTTAAACACTAAATGCAGACTAAAAGAAAATATTTGCAGAATACTCAACAAGGCTGGGCACAGTGGCTCACACCTGTAATCCTAGCACTGTGGAAGGCCAAGGCTGGAAGATTACTTGAGGTCAGGAGTTCAAGACCAGCCTGAGCAAGAGCAAGACCCCCTCTCTACAAAAAACAGAAAAATTAGCTGGGCGTGGTGATGTGCGCCTATAGTCACAGCTATTCAGGAGGCTGAGGCAGGAGGATCACTTGAGCCCAGGAGTTTGAGGCCCTAGTGAGCTGTGATTGTGCCACTGCACTCCAGCCTGGGCAACAAGGCAAAACCCTGTCTCAAAAAAAATAAAAATAAAAAATAATGACACTTATCTATGAGGAGCTGCAACAATTCAGTAAGATAAAGACAGCTCAGTAGAAAAAAATGGGCAAATAATATGAAAGGGAATCTCAGAAGAAATACAAACACTTAATAAGCATATTTTCAAGAAGCTGAGGCAGGAAGACTGTTTGAGGCCAGAAGTTCAAGATCAGCCTAGACAACAAGACCCTGTCTGTCTCTTGCTCTCTTTCATAGGCTGTGTCCCTCAGGCTGAAGTGCAGTGGTACAATCACAGCTCACTGCAGCCTCAAACTCTTGGGCTCAAGTAATCCTCTTGCCTCAGCCACCCGAGTAGCTAGGATTACAGGCCCGTGCCACCATGCTCAGCTAATTTTTAAAATTGTTTTTAAAGACAAGGTCTCATTATGTTGCCCAGGCTGGTCTCAAACTCCTGGCCTCAAGCGATCCTCCCGCCTCAGTCTCCCAAAGTGCTGAGATTACAGGCATGAGCCACTGCATCCAGCCTATTTTTCTAGTTTTAATTATTATACTTAGGTCTTTGATTAAAATGCCTGGATTTTTAACAATTATATTTCCAGGAACAATAGTTCTATCTGGAAAATGCTGTGTGACCTCAGGCAATTCACATGTTGTTATATTTATTTTTTTGATTTTTTAAATTTTTTAACTGTGGTAAAATACGCATAACATAAACTTTACCATCTTAACCATTTGGGGGAATGGGGGTGACAGGCTTTCGCTATGTTACCCAGTCTGGCCTCAAACTCCTGGCCTCAAGTGATCCTCCCACCTCGGTCTCCTGAGTAACTGGGATTACAGGCATGAGCCACTATGCTTGGCCTTATTTACATCTTCTTTAATTGCACTTTGAGTTTCATAATTTTATCTTAGATCTTGCATATCTTTTCATTCTCTACAAGGGGTCTTCCACAGAGCAAAAGTTTTTAATTTTAATGAAGTATTCCTCAAAACTGTCAAGGTAATCAAAAACATCACCAAAAACTGGAAACAATCCAAATATCCTTCAAATGGTAAATGGACAGACAACACTGGCACATCTGTTCAGTGGACTGCTTGCTACTCATCAATACGAAGGAAACTACCATCTGCTGATACACACACAACACGGATGAATCTCAAATGCAGCATGCTAAGGAAAAGGCTGTACTGTACGGTTTCATCTGTGTGACCGCTGGGGTAAGGCAAAACTATAAAGACAGAAAACAGCTTATGGGGCAGAAAATAGTGGTTGCCAGGATGTGGGAGTGGGAAGAGAGATTGGCTGTAAAGGGGCATAAGGAAATTTGGGGGTGATGAAACTATATCCTACATCTTGATTATGGTGGTGATTACATGATTGTATGTACTTGTTAAAACTCATAGAAAAAGGGTGGATTTTTACTGTATTAAAAAAACACAAGGAATTAACATCTAAAATATTACAAGAAAAAGTTAGAGAATCTAATAGAAAAACGGATAAAGCATACAAGTAGGAAATGCACCAAAGAGAAATTTCAAAGATCCACCAAGTACCGTATACTAACATATGGTCAACTCACTGGTACAGCGGTATAGGGTGATGGGTTCCAGGACCCCATCAGATACCAAAATCCATGGACGCCCAAGTCCCGTATAGAATATGGCACGGTATTTGCATATAACCTACATGCATCCTCCATCACATCTAGATGACTTATAATACCTAACACAATGGAAACGCTATGTAAATAGTTGTTACACCATAATGGTCTTTTAATTTGTATTATTTTTATTGCGGCATTATTATTTTTTTATGGTTTTTTCCCCCCTGGATATTTTTGATCCATGGTTGGTTGAATCTGTGGATGTGGAGCCTGCAGATGTGAAAGGCTGACTGCACTCAGGAAAAAATGCAAATTAGAAACAGAGGCTACTTTATACCTATCAAATCGTCAAAAATTAGAGGAAGAGGGCCAGGTGCAGTGGCTCACGCCTGTAATCCTAGCACTTCAGGAGGCCGAGGAAGGAGGATCACTTAAGGCCATGAGTTCCAGACCAGCCCAGGCAACATAGCAAGACCTCGTCTCTACAAAAAACAGAAAAATTGCTGGGCATGGTGGCATGAACCTGTAGTCCCAGCTACTTGGGAGGCTGGGGCAGGAGGATCATTTGAGCCCTGGAGTTTGAGGTTGCTGTGAGCTATGATGATGCCACTGCATTCTAACCATGATGACAGAGCAAGGCACTATCTCAAAAACAAAACAAAACTGGAGTGGTCATGAACTTGGTGTGAGGCTGAGACTCATGTGAGATAAGAGACATGCCAAGGGCCAAGTGACGAACTCAGGGCTATCTAGGCCACTGGAAGAGCCTGGATATGACTATAAATGCCATAGGAACCACTGGAAAGTTTTAATCAGGGAGAGACAATTTCATTTTTATTGGGCAATTAACTATGGGCCCTGTGCCAGGCTCTCTATTGTACATGGATTACTGCATTTTATTCTACATAACTACGCCACAAAGAGGAGCTATTTTTAACCCAATTTCATACTGAGGAAACTGAAGCAGGAAAAGTTTAAATGACCAAGGTTTAAATGTCAAGGTCACAAAATTAATAAGAATAAAACCAAACTCAATCACTGCTTAGGATGTTGCATAAAGAAATAATGGCTCTCCTGAAAATGGTTAAGCTGAAGAAAAAGAAAAAACACAACAAATAATGGCTTATATTTAATGAGCAATTACTATACGCCAGGCAATCTGATTCTAGGGCCCCTGCAGTTTCTAATTCACTGGCCAGGAAAGGGATCTTTTTAAAGAATTCCTCTGGAT